AAAAAAAAGTTACTAGACCAAAGAGTAAATTATCAAGTTCCCGCATTTGAAAAAAAACATATATAAAATTACAAACTTGGGTAAAAAAATACCAAACGGCAAAACTGGTCAAATTTTTTTTAAGTAAGTTGATATCATCGGTGGTATGCATACGAAAGATTTTCAGTTGAAAACCTGCCCTCAATTATGCTTTCGGTAAATCTTTCTCGATGAAGCAAAGTCGTTTCCACCAAATTTTTTTGTTTATTAATAAAGTGTTTTAAAGAAATATGGACGTAACCGTGTTTTTCTCATACTCATTCTTTCAAATGTTTTGTCAAGATTTCAATCTCGAGCACGTGAAGGTTAATAGGTAATAATTGAGCGCAAAGTTTCATATTTCTGTTAAAAATTTCTGTTTAATCACTCTAAATAAAAACTGTATTCCAATTTTTTTTTAGTTGTTCAACAACTTACCGATTTCGAGGTATTTTTGATGCAGTGGATCGTAGTTTTCCCAGGTGGTGCTGCGAAAGCGATTTCGCTCTTTGGAGGCGGGCAACACTGAATCCTGTCGATGATGCTCATTGGGATTACTGAAAGAAACCAATATATCCGTAATTTATAAATCATAATCCATAGTTTAGGATTCATATTTAATAATTAAAAATTAAAAATTCCTTATTAATAGTGCAGAACTAATAGTTGTCAATTTATAATTTTCAATTCATAATTTTATGAATCGTAATTCAAAATTCATAAGTCGTTCTGCTGCGATTCGTATTCCGTTCTTTCTCTTGACGGCGCAATTGGGCTATAATATAATTTTTATTTGCCCTGTCCCTAAGCAAACATATGTACGATGTAAGTACGAGTTAGGCTGGTAAAATGACATTTGCAGCTAAAAAGCAGAAAAATGGTTGGAAGTGAAAAGTGACAGAAATTAACAGTCCACTTCAACAGGCTATATGTAAATGCATAGACAACTATAAAACCGAGAGTGGCGTCAAATAATATCCGAGTTTACGTAGATACGTACGTAAGTACATATACATATACAGTGACTTAAACAAATGACCACGTGTTATTTATTTTAAATATTCGTTATGTTTTTGCGGCTAATTATTCAGGTGGTTTTTCTATGAAAATTCCGTCCAAGCTTTATACAAAAAAAAATTTAGGAAAATTCCAAAAATTTTCATCAAAAACTCAACTTTTTAGTATGAATTTATTTTGGTGACGGATTTTTGCATTTTTTTCCACCTCTCAAGAAAAACGAAAAAATTTTTTTTTTATCAAAATGCTCGTATATTAATTTCGCCAAAAAAAATTTACAGAAAAGACAAAGCTCTTTTTCAAGCAACAGAAATAATAAAAATATTTCTTGTGATTTTTCTTGAGGGCTGGATTCCAAGCTTAAGCATGAATTTCTTATGAATGAAAATGTGGGTGACTGTTAGCAACATGATTTCAAAAAATCAAGGCCGATTTTTGTAAATTGCACTTGTTAAATTAAAAAAAAAAAAACAAAAAAACCTATCTTATAAAAAAAAAAAAAAATTATCAAAAATCAATGCGGTTTTTAGCCGGTTGAAACATGCACTTCATTGGACTAAAATTGTACGGGTTGCATACCCAAAAATTTTCTAAAGATTCAGATTAAAAAGGGATTAGGAAGTTGAAATTTTGATGAAAATTCGTTGAATTTTCCTTAATTTTGTACATAGTTTGAAATTGTGATTTATATGGCCTTGGTTAAAGCTTAGACGATATTTTTTAGAAAAATAACAAACAAAAAAATTTGGCTTGAAAAACTAAAGGAATATTTAAAAAAAATCAAAGCGTGGTCATTTGTTTGAACCACTGTATACTCTCTGTGTAGTCCATGAAGAAAATAAAGTAGAATATGAAAACAGAAATTAGTAAAATAAGCATAAGTGCACAACGTATGTGTATGTAAGTAGTATGTATGTATGTATGTAGTCTCTACATGCCACAGATTGTTGGAATGGCACTGCGGAAACAGCACAGGAAACGGAGCGAATGGGAGTGTACTGAAGAGCAGAGAATTTAGCAGCCATAATGCACTAACAACACTTCATTTTAAATTGCTCACCACTTGATTATGGCGTGCAAAAACATGAAATGCAAAAAAAAAAAAAAATTATAAATGAAAAATTGAATAAAGCAAGAATGAGAAGAAAAAAAGTGAAATGCTATATCCCATGCAATTCCATGCAATCATGCGTGAGTGTGTGTGTGTGTGTGTGGAAGTTAGCCGCGCGAGTTGCTGAGCTTTTAGACAGTGTCTGTTCGGGCTGCGTTTGTACATACTAAATTGCATACATTGTGTTTATGGTGTAAATTTATTAATAAAAAAAAAAAATATTTTTTAAACTAGTATTTATGCATGTTTGCTTTCATTTTCATTTCGCTTGATGCCTTTGAGTTTCATTTTACATGTCACTTGCTTTTGGGTGGTATGACGTGAGACTCTTGCAACAATAAAGTTAATTGAGTAAAAAATGCTAAAAATGAGAATAAAAATATTAAAAGCGTAAATGACTAAGTTACAGTAGATCAAAAAAAAAAAGCAACATCGGCAAAGCTGACGTTGACACGTAGGTAAGTAAGTAAATATGTATGTATGTGCGGGCATGTACATATACATGTACATATATACATATGCATATTTTGCACAAATAAAATTCATGAATGCAGCAGTGCCTTGGGCGTGAATAGTATTGTACAATACAACTCCTACTATTTTCGTTCGTTCAAACAAATGTTGCCTAATTGGCGGAAAAAAGTTTGCCGAAATGTTACATTTTACAAAAAAAAAAAACTAATGTTTTACAAAAACCACGCTTAAAAAAGTAAAAGAATTGCAAGCGACCTTTTTTTCTTAAGTCGCACTAGTATGATTTTTACAACTAAATATTTAATAAAAACCGCTTTACTTGCCACCACATGCCAACCACTTACCCCGTTCTTGCAAAATTCGTCCAAAATATGATCACCGCTTCGGAGAGTGCAATCTCCGATTTTGTGTAGTTCTGTGGAAAATGACTGAAACCATCTACCAAGGGCGCACCGAATATGTAGGGCAAATCCTCGCCATGCACTGTGCCCATACGCTGTGGATAATCGCCATCTTTGGTCTGATAGTCGAAGACATAGAAATAGCAGCGACCCGATTGTGCACCTGACGCAGTCGAGGCCGAGGCTGTGCCACCACCCGCGCCACTGCTAGTCGATATGGGTGGCGGTGAATTGGCTGCCAACTGATCGCCAGTGCGTATAATTGGCGCCACGAATTGGGCGTCCGATAGTGCTGCGACGGCAGTGTCACGTGTATTGATCGGATGTTGCGAAGTGCGATCCCAGTCGGTGTACTCGTTGACAATCTGTGGAGGTAAGCAAATCAAAAAATGGGAAATGATGAAAAAAAAAATATTTCGGGCAACGTTTTCAATTTGTAAATTTGAGATAACAGTTATTTTTGGTCCCTGGTTTAAGATTGTATTGGGTACTACCTTAAGAGTGGGTCACAAAACAAAAACGAATTATTGTAGTTCCGCAGGTTTTTCTCAACCTTTACCGCTCGACACCATTCAGCAATGTTGATCTAATCACAATACATAGACAGACTATGTAACCAAGGTCTTTCTTAGCGGTTTCCTGCAAGGCATTGGCGGCCTTCTTAACCTTTTTCGCTGCACTCAAACTCCACGTTTGCCGTCAACAATAACTTCTACATATTCTTGTAAATGGTTTGGGAGTTAGCGAAATATTTTCTATCATTAATAGAAACCATGAGAGAATCTTATATTTTCTTCTAAAAACAGACGCCTATCTTCTGGTTATTCAGTTAACAACTACAACACGGGGTTTTCAAATATCTCGACTCCTGCTTCACCTAGTACAGCTTTTTTTATTAGATGTGTTTGAAGTTTCATGTCTCTAGCTAATCGGAAAGTTGATTAAAAATTTGTTGCAAGATTTGATTACTCACAGGTGAAACTTAATAAAAGTTTCTAAAATGGAGGTAAGTGCAGTTTTTAATGAAAACAAAAGGCAAGCATAATGTAATTCGAGATCTCGTTGAGTTTAAACGGCTCGCCGTAGTAGAGCAAGACCGGTGGTAGAAGGGACTCCGGTCCAATCACCACCTATACGTAAGTTAGGATGGGCACAGAAAGATAAATGCATAGAAAAAATAATCCAAAAGGCATTCGTGAGCATTTGACTTAACACTCTTTGGGAAATTGACTAAAACCTGATAAATAATACGATAAAGTAACTGTGATAAGAGAATTAGTGGACCACCGTAGGTGTGTATTTGGGGTCGAAAGCACCTCCTCGGAAGAGGACACCTTCGAGGATAATTTTGTCATGAAAAAAACTTCAGAAACGGCTTATAACTCCAGATCCATTCATTTAAGTGACATCATCCTGAAGCATACCATAAATGGTAGGAAAATCTCTACTTCTAACGCTTCAAGAGAAGCCTCGTATGATAGAAAAAATATCAAAACGGTTTGAATTCTTTAATTGTTGATTTTTATTTTTATTAAATTAAAAATAGTCGCCTTGAACATTCTGTTCGATCAAATGGAGCTTATTATAGAAATAGGGTTTTAAAAAGATTCCGCTGAGCTGCGAATTAAACAGATAATAAATACCCGTTGTAGAATAGGGGAAAATGTATTTTTACTACCTACACACGCATGCACATCCTTACACGCAAACACATACCCGTACATCCATAGAAACTTACGTTCCCATTAATGCGCAAATAAAGAGGCGCACGGAAGTAAACACAAGTGCTTATTAGTCATACATACATATGTACATACATACTCACACACATACTTACATAAATGAAAATGAATGCATACATATCTTGCACATGTATTTCTAGAGGACGCAAATAGTACGACGCGCGTGCGTGTCCTTCCATAGTTTGGCTAAAGACCTGCCACAAAGCCACTATGGTATTTGGGTTAAGTGTTGCGCTCAACTAACTGACAGTCCGTATTTGTATTTACATACATACATATGTATGCACATATGTACATATATGATTGAAAGAGTATGTGGGCGCGTGTGTGTCTGTGCGTATTTGCATTTCTTTGCACATCCGAACACAGCAAGGACATTGCTAACTTTCTAAATTTATGCCACAGCAGGCAGATTTTGTATGCAGTTGGATTTTGCATATTCTTTTTTGTGCGTATTTATATGTACATGTACATACATATTTACATGCACACGCATTTTCATTGCAATTAAGTGCGTTAATAAAATATTTCGACTATTCCTTGCCTGAAATTGCATAAAACGAGCGATATTGTTAATTTTTATGTTTGCGCATATTTGTGGCCATATTTATGTACGTGAGATGAGTGACTATGAGTACGTACGCACTGATGGTAGCATAAATGGCCTTCACGCAAGAAATTTACGACAAATGGCAGGCACAAATATACATACATACATAGCTAATACACTAATATGAAACAACTATGCATGATATTGATGTGCGCATGCGTTGACGTTTTACACTCACATTATGCCACATTCTGCTGTTTAGCTTCATTTATGCACACAAAATAACAACTTTTTTATTTATTTTCACGCACGTAAAATCATGTGTCGAGATTATGTTTATTTAAATAATGAAATATTGATAGATATGGGTACCGCTACCTTGCGAGTATACATATGTATGTAGAATATTTCTGCTTTTGGAAATTCTAATAATTTCATTTGGAATTTGCATTGCATTTTTAGAAAAGCCTTCATAAAGAATTTCTATACAACAATTTTTCAATCACATTTATATGTATATAATACGGGGCATTTGAAGAGCTCCGCTTTTCTGTTTAATATTCCGACTTTGTTGAATCTTTCGTCTTCTGGCAGCCAAAGTGATTTTGTTTAGTTAGTTTTTCTCCTAATTTTAAAATGTGTTGCCTAGTCAGCCTTCAAAGGAATGTTGCTGCTAGAAGCAAGCAAATCTTACGCCAAATGACACAAATGTCATAAAGTAGCCTGGATATAAGATTGTCGTATGTTACTTTCGGGAGGTTTTGGGAGATCGCGGTTGAAGTTTGCAAAAACACGGCTATAGATTTTTTGCAAGCTCCCGAAATTCTCAAATACAATTATTTTTGAGTTTATGAAGGACATTTGTCAACAATATGACAGCAACTTTGTGCGACGAATAAGAAAATGTGATAAAAATTTGTACTAAATCGACGATATCGAAAATGCATAACGCCATTTGAACTCCGATTAGTTTAGTATGACTGCATTATTTTAACTAACTTTGTACGAAAATACCAATACAATTTTTGGTCAATATTTCAGAAACTAAAGGAGGTATCCAAAAACTGATGTAACTACATCTAAATATAACACAAAATCATCAAAATGGCGCTTACGACAATCTTTTGTTACCTTGCTTCAGTTGTCATGGAAACAGTAGCTTTTTATAAAAATCACCTTTATTTTTCCCATCTTCACAGCGATCCAGTGGCGCATTTAAAGGTCATTGAGCACCCTGTACTGGTTGCAGTAGAAAATCGAATGTTGGCATTTTCTTCCATACAAAATCATTTTTTATATGGAAAAGAGTGCATAAAACCGTCAGCTAAAAAAAAAATATCAAAAATCAACGCGATTTTTTAGCAACTTTAAACTTGTACTTTATTATACTAGAATAATAAGCTATATAACTGCATACCAAAAATTATTCTAGAAATTAAAATTAAAATGCTTGGAATTTGATTGAAAATTTGTGTATAAAAGTAGTCAGAACTGGTAAAAATGTTGTTGCGGGGTGTATACGCGTATGGTGAAAAAATTGGCCTACCCTAATGTGCGTACTAACAAATTGTGACAATTTCCATTTTTTGTAAGAAGAGGATGTCATGTCATGTCTTACCCGTTCAAGCAGTGAGATATTTAATGAATGATGACGTTTTGCATAATACTTAGCACCTCAAACAAACTATGCCCTATCCTAGGGGAGAACAGATTTGGAGAGTGACGAGCAATAATATTCTAAATCAGCTTCCACCAGCTAAGTATTTCTCAAAAATTTCATTGGAAATAATAATATGTGGATATTTAAATTATTTGCTTATATTTAAATTTTATCAATATTTCTGTTAATAAATTTGATTAAGCAGAATTGAACGTAAATGACTATCTTAAATAGCCTTCCGTAATAAACAAAATTGCGTAGAAAATTTCACAACAATTTATCAGTGGAACTTTTCGTATTCTCGCACACTTTTTCTTTGTTTATCTTCCTTCAAACTGCCAATCGCTTTCAATCAACGCTGCTATTAATCACATAGTTTGTACACATTTTTCATTAAAACCTGATACAGCTGTTGTAGTACGTAGTACAATGTTGTACTACAACAAACCAACACACAATAATAACAACTTGCAATATTTGTGTCCATCATTCATTCGAGAGTGTTTTTGCGTTATAATGCCAACCAAGCCAACACACTAATGTGGATGAGGCGCCACATCCCCGCTTAACCAGTTAGCGAACCAGCGTTGAACCAGCCAACCAACAATTAATTTATGCCACCTACCATTATCCATGGCCACCACCTGTCAAACGTTTCACGCTCCAAATACGCGAAGGGACACAGTCTTCAGCGCAAAACCAAAAAAGGATGATGAATAAACAACAAAATATGCGAACATTGTCACAACTTTGTGTACGAAAAATGGGCGGTGGTGGGTGACCCATTAAAATGTTTGTGTGTGCATATCTCGGTGGAGGTATGTATGTATGTATGTAATCAGTCAATGCTGCAGGCGGGAAGCAAAAACCAAACAAGCAAACAATGTGCCATGAAAATTCAGCAAATTAGCAGTTTATCAAAAATTCAACACAAGCTACTAAATGCACAGCAGCGTCAATGCGCTGAGAGCAGTGCGCTGAGCCGTTCGCTGCATGCCAGCCCAGCACAGCGTTTGCTCCATATCTGACCATTAAATTGTGAAATCAACAAGCAAATAAAAAGTATTTGCGCGTGAAATTCAAAATTTCGCTGAACATAATATTAGCCTACTCCAGCGCATGGTTTTTTTTTTTGTTTGGTGAGCGCTGCTAAAATTGACAATTGACACCGTGTTCATTTGGATGGCATTTGATGGTTAACATTGGGCAAAAATGCTCCCTGATGATCAGCAAATGTGTGCGATAATGCTCGGCGGATGAACAGACGTGTGCAGGTACTTCTGTGTGTTGAAATTTATTCATGCTCATTTGCTAGGGGATAGGTAAATGGTAGCCGTAACCATTTAACCCAAAAAATGAATGGTGCTGTCCATAAATCCTTTATTAGCTCGAATAGCTGTGTTTTATATAAAC